GAAGGATATCATGTTTGTTAAGATGGAGGGTCAGAGAAAAAGAGGAAGACACCCAGTGAGATGGATTGGCAATATGGCAGCATCAATGGGCTCAAGCATGGCAACAAGTGTGAGGTTGGCCCAGGACTGGGCAGTGCTTCATTATGTTGTGCATAGGGTCACGGATGAGTCGGTACCAACTTGATGGCACCTAACAACAACACCTAACAACAACAACAACACCTAACAACCTAACAACACCAACAACAACTGCAAATACTATACGTGAACAGTGGAGCACACGGTGGGTAGTGTTATGAAAACTACTTAGATGTAAACACCTAGAGGAAATGAGTTTCTGGGTCTGGGGGTTCAGGACCATCATTTCAGGGGACATCACAATCAAATGCCACAACACAGTCCACAAAGATAATGGTCTACATCCTACTTTGGTGAGTAGTGTCTAGGGTCTTAAAAACTCATGAGCAGGCATCTAGAGTATATCTAGAAACCATTTAGAAAGTTTCTCCTCATCCAAAGCAAAGAAGAATGAAGAAAATCAAAGCCACATTCCGGGTAACTGTCTGACAGAACCTCAGTTCCCACAACCTTAAGACCAGAAGACACTAGATGGTGCCCAGCTTCCACTACTTACTGCTCTCAAAGGGATCACATTAGAAGGGCCTGAACAGAGCAGGAGAAAAGGTGGAACAAAACTCAAAACCATAAACAAAGACCAGGCTTGACAATGGCTACCCAAAATGGGGGGTGGGGGCTAGGAAGGCAAGAAGTGACTAGCTTACCTGAGTAGTGTCCAATTTATCTGGGCAGGGCTGATAACAGGAGATGGGGATAGGTCTCTTGTGATACAATAGTGAATAATTGTTTTCAGGACTGACTGTGAGGGTTGGAAATGTAAAGGTAGGTGTTTTGTAGCAAAAGGAAGAGAGTGATTGACTTTGTAGTCCAGGAGTGTATGTCCCTAGGACCATCAAGGGAGAAGAGCGGAGTGCGGAACCCTACCCAGAGACAGTGACACCAGAGATGGAGGCAGAGACGATGATGTGGAGAGATGGAGCGGCTGGGGACTGTAGACCCAGAGAGGGAGAGGGGCTGTGTGCTGACGGCCGAGGGGCAGGCTTGCAGGGTATAACCTGTCATTGGCTGATGATGCATGGAGGGGATTGTGACCACGGCAATGAAACGATATACAATAGGATGAATGTAAAGCTAATGTTCTCCCATGTAAACTATCACATAATTCACAATAAAATATTTTTTAAAAAAACAAGACCAGTCTTGCTGGTCTGATAGAGACTGAACTCACCCTCATGACTCAGCTTTCAGTCAAACAACAGACAGGTCTATTAGAGGAACCATGACACTAGGAAGGTATGCAGCCTTACAACAATCAACCTCTGAGATCAAAAGAGAAGCATTTGCTTAATGGCAGAGTTCAGAAGCCAGGAGGCTAAGAAAGGAGAAGCAATAGGGAGGGTACATTTGAACTACTGACCTTGTGGTTAGCAGCCCAATGTGTAAACCACTATGCTACCGGGGCTAATTAAGCCCAAATTGTGCCAACCATAGACCATAAATGTTCCACATGTGTAAGCTGATACCATGGTTTAGTTCTCATTATCGTGACTGACCTGGGGTTCAAGGTGTGACCAAACATAACATCACTTATCCCACTTCCTCCTGTGTTATCCCAATGAATACGGTTTGCAATTAATAAAATGAAACAAAATGTGTATGAATTTTTGAGTGGAAAATTGATTTGCTCTGTAAACCTTCACCCGATCCATAATAAAAAGTTAGAAAGAAATAAAATAAAAACCAAACATGTAGAGCACAAAAAAATAAAACATTCTTGACTTAAACAACAAAACAAAACAAATACCTTGGGAAGAGCTGACCTATTCTGGCTTTGGTCACCGTGTCACACCATGAACCCCAAGTTGGTAATGATAATGAGAGCTACACCATGATGACAGTTTACACGTTATGCATTTATGGTCTCTGGTGGCACAATCTGTTCTTAATTAGCCCTCATAGCACAGTGGATTACACATTGGGCTGCTAACCTCGAGGTCAGCAGTTCAAATACACCAGGCACTCCATGGGAGAAAGATGAGGCTCTCTGCTCTCATAAAGATATACAGCCTTAGAAATGCTATATAAGATCGCTATGAGTCGGAATCGATTCCACAGCACAACATCACCACCACCACCACCACCATTAACCTAAAGGTTGGCTGTTCAAATCTACCCAGAGGCACTGCATTAGAAAGGCCTGGCGATCTGCTTCTGTCAAGATTACAGCTAAGAAAACCCTATACAGCATTTCTACTCTGGAACATATGGGGGTCACCCTGAGTTAGAATAGAGAATAGATTCAATGGCAATGGTTTGGGGTTTTGTTTTTTTCAAAAAACAATATTTAAAAGTAATGCTTAAAAAACTCAAAGTAAGCATTTATTATTTAGCAAATACAGGGTTTTATGTGAATCATGTTTAGCCCTCCCCCGCACCCACCCAAAAAAAAAAGGAAGAAATTGTGTGAGTACTCTGCTCTGGAAAGTTTAAGAAATTGAGCTGAGGAAATACTTGGAGTATCTACTATTGTATAAAGAACTCTGCCAACGAAGAATCACTGAAGACTCCTGGACTTTGTTTTTACCTTTAGGAACTTAGTGTCCCATTGGGAATGTACTATCCAGTGTGGTGTGAAGGGTTTTTTAATACTATCAGAAGAGATGTCAGAATTCTGTGTGTGTGTCTTGTTTTGTTGACTGAATCAGAAGTAGAAAATGTGAGTTCTAAGAGATTTCCAGATAGAAGGGTGGGCTCTTGGGAACCGTTTTGGGTAGAGCTTCCTAAAAGACAGGAATAACTATGGATTGGGGAAGGGTCTCAGAGAAGGTGGGATCTGAGATGGACTTTGAAACAGAACACTGAAGGTTAGATTTCTCCTTTCTGGGTAAATTTGATTGCAACTTGGAGGTCAAGAAAGAGAAACGTCATAAATGGGCCACTACTGTTCTGTGGTCTCTTTTTAAGCTGGCAAAGTGCTTTGTGGTCTTTGAAATCTGCACCCTGAATATAGACCTTGTGGGTCCTTGCAATTAAAATGATAATCACAGTGAGTGAGGTCCATCAACCGCGAGCCTTAGAAATAGCCTTCCTCCTGAAGGCACCCTCATTGTTCAGGCCCTGATGGGCTCAGTGGAGCCTGGACTGGCTCCGGCAGTCGTCAATTACATCCTGACACAGTGGCTGGGCCCACGTGAGGCTATCCTCCCAGGTAGAGAGAATGCCTTAGTCTGAGCCCAATAAGGCCCCTGGTTGCTCATTCCATGGCAAGTCTGTGAACAGTCATCATCCAGAATGGGCAAATCTCTGTTTTTGATTTTCTGAGCAAGCTCAGACTCCCTCAACATTTTAGGGATGGGGATTTTTCCAGGTAATGGAATGTTCTGGTTTATTGATACTTAAGCAGTAAACTTTTAATGTTGAAATATTTATAAACATTGACAACTGATATCATCTCTGATGACTGCGCCCATTTCTCTGCCTCACACAGAACAAGCTGGTGGGTAGGTAGCATGGACCTTCCATAGGCACAGATCCAGGGCTACAGATAGGATATAGTAGACTTAGCACATGCATGGATCTTTTATAAAAAACTGAGCTCCTGAAATAGACATGTGGTGGGTTTCAGTTAATTATTTGCTGCTTTTGCCTATAAGTAGAACCAAAAATTTTTTTCAAAAAACAAAGAAAATCCATTTTCATCAAGTCGACTCTGATGCACCGTAACTCTCCATGTTACAGAACAGACTTGCTCGATGGGGCTTTCTTGCCGGTAATCTACATGAACCAGAGACCTCACTGTAACATCAGCCCTGGACTGCTTACCACAAGGTTGGCTCGTCAAACGCACCAGTCCCTCCTTGGAAACCCTATACAGGATTGCTATGAGTCGAAATCAACTCAAGTGCACTTCACAATACTCTTCATGAAAGCATAACTCCAAGGTCTTTCTTTCAGGGTGCCACTGGGTGCGTCTGAACCGCCAACTTGAAGATTGGTTTGGATACTGCCAAGTTGGATCGGAGACATAGTAATCCTGTATAGGTTTCCCAGGCTATAAATATTGCAGGAGCAGAAAATCGCATCTTTCTTCCATAGAACCACTGGTGGGCTCAAACCACTGACCTTGGGGTTAGCAGTCTAGTGCTTATTTTACAGAACTACTGTGCTGCCATTTAGATTAGCAGTGGAGCACAAACTGATCATGCCACCCAGGGACCTCCTATAAGAAGAGTTTCAGTAAAACACAATGTGGTGGGCAGACTCTTAAAAGTGGCCCCTACAATTCCTGTGTCTGGTGTTGGTGTGCTTGTCTGGTCAGCTCTACTTGAGAGTGACTTGCTTCTAACCAGTAGAATCTGGCCAAGGTGGCATACACATGATCGCATGCATATAATTCCATGATTAGGCAACCTAAGATCATAGCACCTATCTTACTGGACTCTCTTCCTTGCTAACTTTGAGGTGGCACGTGACAGGAAACACAAATGATTCCTAGTTGCTGAGGTTGGCCTTCAGCCAGCAAGAAGTTGAAGCCTCAGTCCTACAACCACAAGGAACTGGCTTCTGCCAACAACCTGAATGAGCGTGGCAGATCCTTCTCCAGTGAAGTCTCACATGAGGCTACACAGTCCTGCCGACACCTTGATTATAGCCAAAAGTCCACTGAGATGTTAGGCAGGGAATCCAGCTAAGCCAGACCCAGACTCAACATATATACTGCAGTTTTAAGCCACTAAGCTTGTGGTATTTTGTTGCACAGCATCAGATAGAGATAACTAATACGATGGTGGTGGTTGTGTCCTGTTGAGCTGGTTCTGACTCCTGTCTACCCTGTTTCCCAGGCTGTAAATCTTTACAGGAGCAGAAAACCTCATCTTTCTCCCATGTAACAGCTAGTGTATTCGAACTGCTGACCTTGCAGTTAGCAGCCTAAATCATAACCCACTATGCCATCAGAGCTTCAAAAAAGTTTGTAGAAAAATTCCATGATATTTTTATTCCATTTCCCACAAACGTTTTAAAGCCCTCTTGTAGAACATGAGGGTTTCCTACAAATCAGGGTTTTCCTGATTTCAACTTAAATTCAGCTCTATGATGAAAACGAGAACAACTGATGACGATCCTCACTCAACATCTTGCCAGACATGAAGACCATGATGTCTGCCCCTGAGGGGAACCAAGGCTGTGCTGACCTCATCCATTCTTTTAGCTGTTTCTCACTAAACCCTTTGTTGAGATTAGGGCTGATCTCACGCACTGATTTCAAGAAACTGGACCTAGCTCTGTGTACCCCAGGGCTGCTTGCCCTGCCTATCCCTCAGGCAAGTGCCTTGCTTCCTGGTCACAAGGTCATAAAGCCACTGTCACCAAAGGAGATGACTGACAAGGAGAGACACCCACCCCCCCACTCACTTGTGCATTGACCAAGCTGCAATCCCAAGGGCTCTTGCTTCCCCAGTGGCTTTGGAGCAGACAGGTAACACTCCCTGAGCCTTATCCTATCAGCTTTGACCTGTGGGAAACAAGGCAGGGAGGAGTCGCCGGATAAGTCTCTTGCCTCTTGTCTCTTTTGATGTTCACATGGCTTCTCTGAAGATGCTCCATGTGCCAGAGGAGCAACCGTATTGTGCTGCAAAGCTGTGGCCACTTGGCCCTAGGCACCTCATGTGTCCTCTCTCTCCATCCCCCTCACTTTGAGAGTGCTAGCCCACCAGGCTTGGCCTCAGGTTCTTCTCCCAGGAACACCTTTCTAAGAACATCCAGCATGGATGCTCCACATTCCAATCCTGATTAGGCATTGAGGCTGTGTCCTCTCATTTGCTTCTGAGGGATGTTGGAGCTGCAATGGGGATACTAACAGCCCTGCTCTCTCCAAAACAAGGGATAATAACCCTACAACCACTGGGGGTTCACCTCCAGGAGTCTACATCCTAAGAGCTCATGCAAAAGACTCCATTGTTGTCTATGCTACCAGGTGTCCGGTGACCACCCAGAGATGAACACAGGACCCCAGCAGAGTGGAAGGATGAGCTCATTAGGGGCTGGTCTGGTACCCCTGTGTGTGACTGAAACAGCTATCCTCTGCGCACACGGTCTCTGTAGACCGCGATATGAACAGGGTCAGCAGGGTCAGGCAGCATGCAGCCGTGAAGCCTTCAGGTCCAGGGGTCAGGTGAAAGCGGGCCTGGAAGGCAGGACACTGAGAAGGAGAGGTCGTCCCCAACTGACTTCTCTGCCTCAGTAGGTCAGGCCCAGGCAGGGGCAGAACTTTCTCCTGATGAGTATCTCCCAGCCTCTCCCGGAGCTAGGGAGAGGTGGTGCACTTAGCACCCAGCCCCTAGCAGCAGGGATGTCAGAGGTCACCAGAGGCACCTGTCGGGTAATCAAGGTAGGAAAACGGAAGCCCTGCTGAACACCAATTCACTCCAAAGATTTCAGCATAGCAACTCACACATGGGTCTTCCCACAGGCAGAGTGGGGATTGCTCCCATTTTACAGATAAGGAGCATGAGGTTAACAGAGGTGGATGAACTGCTGAGAGGTGCACACCAGGGAAAGGATGGAGTGGGAAGAGATTTATCATCATCTCACAAATGCAAGAGCTGCCCTCACTGAGGCTGCCTGCCCCACATGCTGACCCTGGGATCACAGTATGTCCCCAGCCCTCGTGCATTCTGTGACGTGAGCAGGGCCAGCTTGTGGGGTCTGAGGTTCCATGAGTGTGAGACATGTCTCTCTCAGGGAAGCACCTTCCCCTGCCTCAGCCCCTAAATATAGGTTACCGGCCTTGTCGTGAACAACAGGGTTTGACTTCTCTTCCCCTCTGCCCACTGAGGGAAGGAAAAATGTTAACTCTTCTCCTCAAACCCTACTGTCTATTCCTCCTGGTCATGTCCACAGGCCTTTGGATCTCTAAGAAATGTTAAAAAGAAAAAAAATTTTTAAATGAAGAAAAAAGCACTTCTGGTCAGTGTCCCCAAATGGACATAGTCCCAATGATTAGCGCTGGCCAAGCTAAGCACAACATTATCTGCAGGAAGTTCGGGCAGGTGACCAGGCCTCCTGGCTGCGAACCCCAGCAGAGCCTCCTGGAAGTGGGAGGTGGAGGGGAGGACCCCAGCCTGACCAGGGTGCCAGGGGCTGGTGGTCCCCCAGATGGTGGTCCCCCAGATGGCAAGTAAGCATACATGCCCCCTGGTCTGGGGGTGGGGGTGGCGCTTAATTCACTTACAATGGTGATGAGGAAACTCATTTTCATTGTGATGCTCTAGCCCAGTTCAGGAACAACAGAAAAGGGGGAGACTCTCTCTCCAAACACAATTCAAAAGCCCACTGGAGCTAGCTGGCCAGATGTGAGGCCCATTCCGTGACGACGGCACACTATTTCTTCCACCCCTCTGCCATGCTGAGAGGCTCCTTGCTAAGCGTCTCTTCTGGAAGAATTTAATTCCAAGCTCAGAGTCCAGGTAAAGAGGCTTCTCCGGGCAGGGAGGCCCTAAAATGAGCCTGTTTATCTCAGGCAGGCCCTGGGTAAGCTTTCTCTCCCCTGAATGCCATTTAGGCCCTTGGAAAAAAGGGAGTGCAGCAAATCAGTCATGAGCTGCGTCAGAGTCAGAGCCCAGGCAGGCGCTGAGTGGCTTCTGCGAGCAGCTTTGTGCAGCCCCCACCTCAAGAACTCAGCAGCAGAGGCAGCTGGGCTCCTGCTGGGTGAGAAAAAGCGATTCCAGCCTGGGGGTGGCAGCTCAAGGCAGCGGAGCGTTACCTGGATCACAGGGGCATGAAATTAGCAGCAGCAAGGAGGCTGCAGCCAAGAATAGTTGGCCAGTGCTAGCTTGCCACCCCTGGACAGCGGAGTTCTGTGGCCTGTAAAGTTGTCCGGTTGTGCCCTCCCCTTAAGCATTGGCCCGAATCATTGCCTGGGCAGAGGGGAGGGTAGGTACCCCAAAAAGCTGAGCAGCTAGTGTCTAATCAGTGGGTTCCAAGGCCTCATGTTTTGGGTCCAAGGAAGTGAAAGGGTGTGTGGTCAAGGGCATGGATGAGCTGGGAAGGCTAAACCAGGAGGGAAGGGCACTGGCTGCCCTCGGGGCCTAGATCCAGAGAGTGCCCAGGGGCCCAAGGCCAGAACAGAGCTGGAGTGGGAACAGGCCAAGGTGCCCCAGAGGAGGACTGGCCAGATGCTGCTCTGCCTCCCCGCTGCCTCTGTCCCTCTGCCTCACGGGCTCTGCTCAGGCCTCTCAGGACCCACTATAAACCTGGCTCTCCATGGTTCAAGGCCTTCCCCTGCCATCCACTTCCTTCGGCACACCTCCTTCGAAATCCCTGACAGGAGATAAGCCAAGTTCCTGAAGCTTTCTGGAAAGTTCCTCCCCACCTCCCTCTGCCTGGGGGCAGGGCTTCCTAGAGCTCCTCCTCTGGCCCCTCCTGGAGTCTCCTCTTCACTGCCTGTACCTGCTCCCTCTCCCTCATTGCTGTCTGTCCCCCTTCACTACCATTCATTCCCTCTGACGCTAAACTTCCTGAAAACTCCAGTCCCCCCACTGCTTATGCTGTTAACGCCCCCCAGGCAGTGGGGAAACACTCCCTTAAAGGACCCCCAGGTTACTCTCAGCAGTCCACTCCTTATAATCAAGGCTGGTGCCATCCTCAGGCCCCTGGTGCCTGGCCCCCATCCAGAGTCCCACCACCCCTCTGGGGGAGCTCACCAGCGCTGGCTTTGATGACCTCCATTCTACAAGTTTCCACTGCCTGTTGGACACTGGGCATCCTGCAGAGCCGAACCTCAGGGGCTTCAAATCAAAACGCTTCAAGAGAAGACACCTCCAGCAGCTCCTCCAAGACCCGTGGCTCATCCCTCCTCTTCCTCCATCCTCACACCCCCAACTCCTCTGTCTCCACCACTTGCCTGTGGCTCTCATTTCCACACAATCACCATAGCCCAACCTCCCGAGAGACTTCACCCAAACACAACAAACCAATCTCTGCACAACACCAAACATTCCACCTCTGTGCCTTTGCTCAAGCTGTTCCCAGGCCTGGCCTGGTTACCCCTTCCACCTCTGCCACTCCAGGCTAGGTCCATGTGTCCAAAGCCTGCCTAGCTGCCAAGTCCTTATCTCCACAAAGCTTTGACTCTTTGCCTCCTCCCCTGGCCTGCCCTGGGCACTGTCCCTTCTCTTGGCCCCTTTTCATTACACCTTGGGAACTCTAGTTTGGGTAAATAAAGGTGCACATGAAGGTAAGAGAGCCTCAGGGGAGGAGGTTAAGGGTTGGTCTCAAGTTTCAGATGGAAGGAAGGTTTTTATTTCAGAAGGTACTAGGGAGCTATGGAAGGCTTCTGGCTAGCAAGTTTCTACTGCCTGATGAGACCACCACTGCGTATACTGCTAAGCAGAAACTCTAGGTGCCTCAAATCAAAGCCCTCTGAGAGATGACACCTCAAGCAACTCCTCCATACATGAGGGAATCATCCATCAACAGTGGGCACGAGGAGTGGAGGGCAAGAAACAGCTGGCACTTAATAAATGTTAAAGGAAGCTGACCACCTAGAGCTCATTCACTTATTCCACAAACACCAGCTAAGGACAGCAGGGTAAGCAAGGCAGATGTCCCTGCTATAGCACAGGAGGTACCCAAAAAACGAGGAAACAGGAAGTAGAAGTAAAAACCAAAAGTAAATTATGGCAAGTGCAAGAAGGGAGCTGAAAGAGAACCTCGTGGGTAGGTTCTATGTTAGCAAGGCACAGAGATAGGGGCCTCTTGAAGGGGGCAAGAGGTGTTTGGGTGAGACTCACAAGGTAGACTGGGTGAGAAGAGAAGGAAAAAGCATTCAAAACGGAGCAAATAGCATACGGTTGGCTCTGAGGCAGGGATGAACTGTGTGGTCAAACTGAAAAACCAGGTTAAGCTGGAAAGACGGGGCAGGGCATTCAGGGTGTAGTTGAAGTTTGGATCTTAAAGAGAAACCGCACAAGGATTTTAAACTTGGTGTTGTTGTTAAGTACAGTCGAGTTGGTTCAGACTCATATAGACGCTGCACAGGATTTCTGAAGAGTGGCTGATGGGTTTGAACTCCCAAACTTGTGGTTCGAAGTCCAGTGCTAATCCTACAGCACCACATCAGGAGTCCTTTAAACTTGATTGTTATTGTTGTTAAATGCCATC